GTACTACAGCAATCTTTGACCCAATGTCCTTCTTTGTCACAGATGTAACATTTTTCATTGAACTTGTACTTCTTAGTTTCCCTTCCTTTCGATCATTGTGCGGAACTTTCTCCAGCACTATGCTTGGTTACCACTTTTCAAAAACACTTTTCAAAAAATTATACTTTCTTATTTTTCGTGTTTTTTTGTTTTTACTGAATTTTTTTAATATTTTGAGCAATTTTTTTTAATTTTTAGACATACCTAACATAAATATACCTAAAAAGTAAAAAAAAAATGAAAAAAACCTTTTAAAAATTCACTAAATACCAAAAATATAAAAAAAAATACGAGAATTCAGTACATTTTTTGTATTTTTATGTATTTATTAATTTTTAAAAATATTTTTTCACAAATTTTTTACTTTTTAGATACAACTAAGTAAGCTGCATCTAAAAAAGTAAAAAAAATGTTTAAAATTTTAAAAATATTCACTAAAAACCAAAAAACTAAGTTTTCAAAAAACTTAATTCAAAAAACTCAAATCAAACACACTGTATGTTTCTTTGTTTTTAGAGCATGTTCCACCATATTTGCCTTAGACTCCATTAGATACTTACCAGCCCGCTTCTCAGAATTGCAGTTGTCCTCCTCAATCCTCAAACGCACAATCAATTCCTTCAAAGTCATTTCTTTGTGCTTGTGCTTGAGGTAGTTTTTGAATTCCTTCTAACAATGTGGTAATTTTTCAATTAAGGCAGCAACTTGGAAGGATTCACTGAGAGATATGCCTTCTGCATGAATGTCATGCAGAATGAGTTGAAAATCTTGAACTTGGCTAATCACAGTCTTAGAATCAACCATCACAAAGTCCAAAAATTTGCCTACTACGAATTTCTTCGAGCCAGCATCTTCTGTTTTGTATTTTTTCTCCAAAGACTCCCAAAGTTCCTTTACCGTCTTAATAGGGTTGTAGACGTTGTACAATGTGTTATCAAGTCCGTTCAAAATGTAGTTCTGACAAAGGAAATCAGCATGTTTCCAGGCATCGACCGCAGCAACTACTTGTCAGTCGGTTTCATCCTCATTCAGAGTAGGAGAATTCTTATGGAGGAAACGCGCCAGGTTGAGAGTAGCAAGATAGAACAGCATTTTTCTATTGCTGTCTTTCAAAATCAGTTCCTAAGAACTTCTCTGGTTTTTCATCATGATTGACTGACACAGTCACAACAGGAGGAGAGATTGGAGTAATTGCAGTCACCATACCCGCACTGGTTTGAACATTAGTTTGACTAGTTTCAGTAGCCATGAATTCTAAATTATAAAACAAAATTATAATTAGAATTTTATACTACACAGAAAAATTAAACCATAAACACAGAATTTAACTTTTATTTCCAATTAATGTGAAAATACAATTTTATTTAAACAAATTAATTCCACACGGAAAAATATTTCTATAACACTTCAAAAATTAAAATACTGAAAATAGAATTTTAATTAATGAAAATTCAGAAATTGTTTCTGAAAACCAAAATTAAGTTCTGACCAAATTCACATATGAATATTCTGAAATTGTTAATGATAACCAGTATATTACTACTAGTTGTCAAATAAAATAAACAGTATATTACTATTATTTTTCAAATAATATATTACTACTATTTGTATTTTCTAACCAGAATATTATTTTGTATAAGCACAGAAAATAATTTCTATAAGAAGAAAAAAATAAGAAAAGGAAACAAACGAAAAATTCTGTAAAAACAGAATAATTTGAATCTGTCTTAAGATTGTTGGAACAATATTTTGTGTAAAACATATAACTTGAAACCAAATCAAACAAATAAAAATAAATTACTTACAGAATTTATTTACCGAAACAAAAAAGTACAAAAATGATTAAGTCGAGTGTATGACACTCTATCCTTAAGACAGATTCGCCCCACTCCGGTACTTGCGGATAAATGGCATCTATCTTTCAAAATACAATGATTTTACATAAATTGTAGTAGCACTCCAAACAATCTGTACGGCGAACCAAACCCGTGTTTTATATTCTCAAAAATTTTCCTAAAAACAATATGTAGAATATATATACAAGAGAGCACAAATGAAGGAAATAAGAGAATTTTCGAAATCAAAAAGTTGCTGGAAAAGGGTCTGCTTTTATAGGCAAAATGGTGTCCTTTTGGAAAGGCCAAACAGGTGCAGATTGAAGTGAACAGGTGCAGAATTCAAACTGAACAGGTACAAAAATTCAAATTTGTTTGAAATAGTTTTGAATGTTTGAATCTGCTGGAAAATGAAACCAAAAGAGGCACTGTTTGGATAGGAAATTTGAATTAATTTTGTTCAGAAAAAAATAATTTTCCTGCAAGAATTTTTGGAAAAATTCAAATAATTTTTTTCCAAAAAATTAATATTATGACTGACTCGATCTACACTCGCGCCCAGCCAGACGGTGGTGACGCATGTGGTGGTTTGAGCCAAAGCTCACTTTGTCCATTACTCTTTCCTTCTACAAACTTGGGGTACCCCTTGAGGCCCAACCCAAGTTTGTCCACCTAGAGCTTATAAATACATACAAGCTCTCTTAAAGTTTCAATGTAGGACAATTATTTCAATAAAACCCACATTTTACTCTTTAATTGTCCACTCCACGAATCCGAAAACGATGTCAACTTCGCACTTACTCATAAATGGTTTTGATAAACCGTTTGCACCATGTGACTTGCCATGCGGCAAGGAACACGTCACTTCTTTGGACCCAATCCAAAAGATGTGTGGGCTCCACTCAAATTTGGGCTCAAAGTTAGTCCAAAATAAGCCTATAAAAATCATAATTTCCAACAACCCTTGGTCTTGTTAATGGGTACCTGCATCAATATCAATCTCAACAACCAAATTGAAGATGTTGTGATTAAGAGCTCATCTAAGTCCATTCTTAAATGCCTAGAGCTCTGTTGCAATGCTTGATATTGTACCAATTTTTGTACTAACTACACATAAATATTGATCCAGACATTCATATGATATTTCACTATAAATATTGATAATTCAATAGGAATCTTTATCATTTTTTTAATAGGTGTTTGTGTTTATCACAGTTCCGACTATTCTCCAGTAGAGTTCTTCGCCAAATTTGTTCTATGTCCATAAAATCGGACACAATTCTATCACATAGGATGACATTCTCACATTTGGTGGGTTACCTCATGTGAGGGAGATTTTGTTTTGTTATCAGATTCAGTATAATTAGAATATTTCTTTCTATTATCCAAGCCACATAGTCCACTACTTTGGATGGTCAAGATTTTACCAAGTCAGTAGAAAATTTATGTTGGAAATAGGAGAATAACATGCGGCTAAGTAATTGGTGATTAGCTTGGAGTATAGGCATGTGGTGTTCCAAGATTATTGAATAATTTTCCGGGTTGGGAATAGCAATGGAGCCGGATTAGGCAATAGGATATATTCTCACTCACTTCTTTATCGCGGGGATGAAAATCAAGAAGATGGCAAGGGTAGAGTAAGAAAGGGTTTAGTAATATTTGTACTATACAATCTTTCATTTTAAGAAAACATGAAACATGCTTAGGTTTATTATTTTAAAAAAAAAAAATTTAAAAAAATGTTTATTGTAGGTGTAATTACAATTAAGTGGGTTTGGAAAAAATATTTACCAAGACATGGAAAAGTTTATAATTTTAATTATTAATATTTATAAAGCTTATCATTTTTGTGTAATTTTTTTTTTCTAACTTTAGGCTGAATGTAATTCTGCCTTTAGTATATAAATAAGTTTTCAATAACTTGTTTTGAAAACAAGTGATAAGCAGTGATGACTGAATGTGGTAGTTAGTGGATAGAGATGGCGGGAACTCGTCGAACGTGGGCAAAGGTAGTTGTTGGTATTCAGACAGGGGGGCTTGCCGGAGAAGGTCATAGGCAGAAATGTTCAGCAAGGGTTGCAAGAGTCCTCCCAACTATCTAACTTGTCAAGTTGCTGCTACATTATTAGGGATTCGAAACTAACTTGTCAAGTTGCTGCTACATTATTAGGGATTGTTTCGAATGACCTAAATAAATATACTTTTTGTTTTTTTACGAAAAGATGTATAGAAAAGTAGAGAGATGATGTGATGAAAAAAAGAACAAAATATGAATTATTTTGTAGTAACCAAACTTGGCCTTAGTTGTTTATATTCTTACAACTAGGATGATCATTTTTATTTTCACCACATTTTGTTTACCATTTGATGTTACATGCTTGATACAAATCCAACCATCATCAAATAATAAACAAAAGGTGTGACTCCAACAATAAGTTTTTGTGGTGCTCTATTTTGAGAGAGACTGTTTACCTGATTTATTGAATAAAACACAAAAAAGAGAGTACGGCGCCTCACTACTCAACACAACTCCCTTCAATCTAATCATTACATGCCTGTTTAGTACAAGAAAAACCAACAAAGCAACATAGTAAACCTGTAATCTACATAAGGCCCCAAATTGGGGTTGGGCTGTGTGAGCAATGAATGAAACGTTGAAGCAGAATTGTCTTTTGGGAGAAACAGGGGTATGATAGGTCATTTTTGTATTCTTCAAATGACAGAAAATTGGTGCTGATAATCCAAAAAAAGGCACCAAGGCCACGGCTTATGTTTCAGTTTATTGATGATAAATCTGCTACTCCAAATAAATAAATCAAAATCCATAGAAGACGATCTCCAATTCTTTAAACATAGCAGTATGCGAGTGACAGAGGAGAGCAGTTTATTACACAGCTCTTGCAGGGGAAAACATCCCGCATAATTTGTAATTCATTCAATTCTTAGAATAACGGAACCACTTTATGAATACATACTTCTCAAATTGATCCAAATGAAGTCAAATTTTGAATTCCAAGGAACAAAAGTAAAAACCAGAAATCTTCCAAATTAGAAAATAAGTGATTTAATTTGAGAGAGGGAGAGAGAGAGATGGCCTCAATCAATTCAGGGTTCAACAGCCACACAAAAAAAAGAAGAGAATTTAAGTCATTATAACATGTATTTGGCACTACACTCGGTCAGATACAATAACAAAATCAGGATGTATTATCATAATTTTAAAATAAAATGGCATTTACTCTTTTACTTGGATAAACAGTTGAAACTTCAAATTGTTAGCACACATTTACATCAGGAGGCACACTACCTTGGGTTCCATGACTAATGACTAAAAATTGAAACCTGCATGGAGAGCCCCAAAATGATGATTTCAGCTGCAACAATTACATCCCAATTCACCCCTACTCCGAATGAGAAGTCCAATAAATCAACCCACTGCAGAGAAAATATATGAGCTACCACCATGAATTACCACAAGAATAGCATACCAATATGAATGATGTCAGTAAACTTTTTGAAAAAAACATAATCTTTTTTATGCACGAATATGAATTTGAGGAGAGTGAGACAGCCACTATTGTAGATCAAACACCTAAAAAGTTGATGGATGTGCCTAGGCACAAAGTGTGAGCATGAAGTTTATTTCCCGTTAGGACATGAAAACTGTCATTAAAACAACAAGATCCATTGCACAATTAAGGTTCATCTTCCAAAGGTCAACTACTCAAACCCCCCTAAGAAGCACGGACCCAGACACGCGGATACTAAAATTTTCAAAAACTCTAGGACATGACATGCATAGGACACATGCAAACACATAATTTTATATATTTATTCTATGTAAAATATTTATTTTCATCAAATTCATCAACTTGGTACTACTTCGGTGAAAATAAATTAATAAATAAAAGGGGCATTGCGTGTCCCAACGTGTTCGATTGAAAAACAAAAAGAATGGGGACACTTCCTCCAAAGTGTCTGATGCATGTCGGACACCGAAGGGCACAAATAACACAGCCAAAGGTCACTAATACATTTTATTTCTTCTCTTTTGGTGGGGGGGTTAAGGATTGCTAGGGGTAAGGAAAAGTCCCTGAAGCATGATAAAATGTACACAACAGAAGTAGCATTTTTCATTAATCTAAACAGGTGCACAAACATTCAAAAATGCCAAATTGATACAGGATACACACAAACAAATGCTCAAAGCGTGAAAAAACACATACCTGATCAACACGAACACACATTGCAAAACACCTGCAGTTCCTGTCCATGCTGAAGGGCCAGTTTCCACAAGTGCATCTTGTATCAATAGACCTACTGCAGCTGCTAGGGAGACGAATGATATAACATAAGCAAGGAAAAGCCAAAGCTTCAATCTGCAAATTCAAAAGTTGCAGCAATCAGAAGGATTGATAATGTCGCTCCATCCATACAAGCATATATGACTAAGTTTATATAATCACAATAATAGAGTCTCTAGAGTCTAGGGCGAATCTCATCAAAATCTAATGATTACACTTGATTTAACCCCACTTGGATTAGAGTCTCTAGGGTGAATCTCATACTGTAACAAATCTCAATGAATCCACGCAAATCATTAGAGGATCTTAGATTCGTGATTCAAATACGACTTATGCAATTCGTTAGTCTTTCAGTGTCAATAACAATAAAATATATATATATATATACATAATAATAACAGGAAAAAGAAAAATGCTGCAAGAAACAACCAAGGAATTTTAAGTGTATTCGGATGAAAATTTTGCAACTACAAAGGAATTGAAAAATGAAGGGATTCAAGTTAGAATGAAATAAAAATACCTTCACTTCAAACATTATTTAGACGAGTGTAATAATTTAAATAAGTTGAATTTGTAATAATGGAGATGTCAACTCATGTAGCACCAAGATGATGGTGGTAGCAATAGCAATGGGGAGCCAGTAGTGATGTGGTGGTCTTAGTGGTATGGCATGGTGGTGGTCAATTGTGGTGTGGTGCATTCTTGGCGGCCAACGAAGGTGTTGACAATAATGGTATTATAAAAAATGGTACTATCATTGCAGTAGTAGTGTAGGAGTGATCATAGTGGAAAGAAAGGAAGCAATGGCAGCATCGGTGGTCATGGCAACAACTACAATCAATTTTGCATTTTCATAATGATTTGTTTTTTTGATTGAAGGGGTTTAAAGAATTCTTATCTCTTATAACCCAAAGAAGGAATTTTCAAATTGAGGATACTAAAATACTTTGTTAGTGTTCGGACTAGCATAAGTTGGCAATTCCATGACTATGTGATGTGCACCTTAAAACCCAAGACCACATTGAACAAGCCCTAGAAGCTTGGAAGCTTAAAGTGCTATGGGAGAGCTTCGTCGGCACCAAGAATGCCTTGGTTCAGTCTAGGTCCAAGAAGACCTTAAAGAGTGGATATTGTTGTTCATTTAGTCAACAAGCTTGGAGGTTGGTCGACCAAGGTAGTCTAGGTCATTGGTGACCAACCACATAGGATGGTCAACAAGATAGAGTCCAAGTTGGAGATATATGTTAGACGTACATGTGGGCTGGCCAAACATGCAGTTTGGACAAATCAATAGTGAGATCCAGAGTGTGGAACACTGCAGGCCAATCCATTGGGATCTTAGAATATAACCTCAGGCCAATGTTGTCAAAAGTGTGCCTAGGCACAAGCCCAGAGCCTCAACATGGTCCAGGCACTGTGCATTTGATGAAACGTGCTTAAGGTGTGCGCCTTGGTCAGGCACAAAGCCACAAGTCCTTTCGGCTTTTTATATTTTGCTGGGTATTTTTTTTTTATTGTTAATTGTATTGTTTTTACTTAAAATATGGTGCAGACACTTGCAAGAGATTACAACTCTTACATATACAAAAAAATTCAGGGATCATTCAGCCGCAAGAAATCGACAAAAAAAGTACCCCTAACTCTTAGTTGCCTTCAGTGGCTTCACTGCCTTCACCCAATCCAGTCTCTATCCAGGTTGGTTCTTCTCCTTCTCTTCCCCTCTGTTTCAAGTCTTCTATTCCTCTTCCGCTGTCTCTTCTCCTCCTTCTCCATTGTTTTCTACACTGATTTTTTTTCCAGTCTGTACTTCAGGTCTTCTCTTTTTCTGCTTTCTTTTTTTTTTTCCTCTCTAATTCAGGCCTTCTTCTACACCCTTGTTTTCTTCTCTACCACTTCTTCTCCCCTCTTCTTCTTCACTGATCTGGTTTGTAATTTTTTTTGTAGATTTTTCTCGCAAATTGTTGGCTTGCCTAGGAGCTTCAAATCATCTTCAGGCGACCACTGGCTCTGTTATCAAAATCTTACAATTTGCCATCCAATTAGTGATTTATCAAAAATCAATACACCTCTATAGGTGAATCTATTTTGGGATAGAATCTATGATAAATCACGTGATTCAAAATCGATTCACGATTCGATTCATTTTTTACGATTCATGCAATTCTTAAAACAAACTTGTTCAATAGATTTTGATCCTCTTTTACATATTCACTTTTAGTGAAAATAATAAAATATAACCTCTAAGAATGTCTAATATGAAAATAACCAATACTTATGCATCATTTGTTATTATTTTGGTGATCAAAGAGTTATTAATAGAATCCAATAAAATACATGAATTATCTATTGCTATTTTGGTGTCATAAAAATGCTCAAGGTTAAAAATAATTTACACCCATGAATTATCTATTATTATTTTAGTGAAATAAAATATGATTTAATATTACATGGGTCAAGTTAGACACAATGATTTTGAAACTTTTTTTTAGAACTTTTTTTGAACAATAACTACACATCCCTTTTAAAGTGTTTTAGGTTTTAAAATAAAATCTCTCTTAATTCTTTCATCATATTACACTCCGTATACGGTTCCCGAGTCTATTTTTTGAATGTCATGAGAGAGTATATTATGGTTGTTGAATAATTTATGATTAGTGGGATTTGGACAATTTATATTAGGGGTGGGCACGGGTCGGTTGCGGCCACGAAACCTACAATCCGCCATGCGGATTGGAGAAAATCAATCCGCATCCGTCCGCCAATCCGGCGGATGCGGATTGAGCGGATTGGGGATTGGCGGATGGATGCGAATCGGTTGGCGGTTTAAAATTTTAATTTTCAACATAATTCAACATGCGAACTTCCTCAAAAAAACAAAAAACAAAAAACAAAAAACAAAAAACAAAAAACAAAAAATGTGGACTTCTCTCCTCAATCACTACTTGTGTGCAATGTATATACAAACACTGTGCACTGTGCAAATAAATAATTCTTGACTTGCATAAATAATTCTTATTTCTTGTACCAAGAATTCCTACTGGTTCTGTAATGGAGTTGAAAATGGGAAACTTTTCTTGTTCTGTAATGCAGTTCAAAATAAGAACACTTGCAGATAAGTTCTGTAATAAACTTGCAGATAAGTTCAAAATAAAAACACTTTCAGATGAGTTCAAAATAATTCTGTAATGAACTTTTCTGGTTCACACATAAGTTTGTCAAACCAAAATAAAAACACTTGTAGAAAACAACTATTTCATCAAATAGATTTCATTAAAAAATTGTTCATGCATTCTATATTCAGTTCATTATAATAAGTTTGAAACATTTCATCAAACAACTAGTGGGCATAAAAAAAAATAAAAAAGAATACACATGCAGATAACAAGTTAACAACCCAGAAATCAAATACAAGCCAGAAACAAGCAAGTCATAGCAGAAAAATTAAAAAAGCAAGAGATCATGAGAGTTTCTATGGATTGTGAGATAAATTATAGGTACACAAATAGTGAGTCAAACAGTGTAATGAACAGACAATATTAACAAATACAACCAATACAAGAGAAGAACAAAGAAAGAGAGAATTCAAAGGAGGACTTACTAATAAAACGAACTTGCTCTCACTCTGTCGAACTGAAAATTTAGAGAGAGACAGAAAAGGAATTTGTGATTAGGTTAAGAACACAGAACATAGAACACAGGTTGAGAAGAGAAGAAGATGAGGAAAATAGAACAAGAGAAGAAGAAAAGAGGAGAAGAGAAGAATAGATTTGAATCGAGGCTTCGATCGCTGCTCACCAGTGTCGCCAATCGCCGGTCATTGCTCGCCGCCACAGTCGCAGCTCGCTGATCGTCGCTCACTGTCATTCCAGTGAGAAAGAGAGGCAAAGAGAGAGAGAGTTGAGAGAGATAGAGCCGTCGAAGGAAGAACCTAGGGCAACATACGTGAAATGAAAAAATGGGGGCGAGACAGAGGGATAAAAAGGGGGAAAAAACATAGGTGAGGCGGGCGGCTCGGGTCCACGAATGGAAATGGCGGATTATCCGTGACCCGACCCGAATCCGCGAAATTGGATATTTTGGACCCGTATCCGTCCGCCATAGCTCACGCATCCACCCAAAACAGCACGGGTCGGGCTGGGCCGGGCAGATCTGGCGGGTCGAAGGACCCGTTGCACAGCCCTAATTTATATTAGTCTTCGTATAAAACCTATTTATAATATATGCCAAAATCAATTTGTTTCATTCTTTTTCATATATATGAATTTGATTGTTTAACATCACTTTTAATAGTTTGTACTGAATCTTAAATCTGCTGCTGCTATTAAATCTTTCTTTGCCTCTGAAAAGCTTTTAGCGGAGCTTAATGCAACTGCAATTACTTTAGTGCTTTCAGTACCTGAACCCAGTACTATGTCTGATTATAGGCCTATATCTTGTTGTAATACAACCTGTAAGATCATCTCTAAGATTTTGACAAATGAATAGGCTCCTACAAGTTATTCATCATATGACTAGCTCTTGTCAAAGTGCCTTTATTTCAGGCAGGTCAATCTCTAATCAAATTCTTCTCCTAGAAGTGCAATGAAAAATTGACATCATGAAGGCTTTTCATTCAGTCTCTAGGAAGCTTATCCTGAACATTTTGGCAACTTTTCATCTTCCTAAAAGGTCTAGATACTGGATTGAGGTGTGTATTTCAACTCATATCTTATGTTCTCTATTTCTATAAATGAAGCTCTTCTAGGTTACTTTCCTAGTGCCAAGATCTTAGGCAAGGGGATCCCCTATCACTTTACCTTTTTATCTTAGTCATGGAGTTCTTTTCAAGAATTCTGCAACATCACATCTTGTCTAGGCAATTTATATTCCATTCCAAGTGCCAAGATCTTGACAACAACCATATATGTTTTGCTGATGTTGTGTTCATCTAATGTTATCCTAATTCTCAATCTTTTCAGATTGTTCATTCTACCCTGTCAAAATTCCACAAGTATTCTGGTTTTCAACCTATTTAAAGCAAGAGCAGGATATATGTTGTTGGGATTGTTGAGAATGGAAAAGAAGAGATGGGGACAGAACAGACGCTCCGAGTGGGGAACATATGGTGTACAGTCGTACCAAACAAAAAAGCTTCCTCTATCTTCTCAGCAAGACATTACAAGCTGAGGGCAGTTGGAGGAGGTACATTTGGCACAGCGTTACAAGTGCCACATGGACCGATCACAAGATTTAGTGTTGATGCCAAACAACCTAACTAACCAAGACCTTAGTTGCAGGAATCGTGCAACCAGGTGACGAATCTTCGTAAGAAACGCGATTCCGCGTTTCTTAGAAAGAAACGTGTAAGAATAGCGTTTCTGTAGAGAGAGAAACGCGATCATGTCCAAGATGGGATCGTTGGTTGCTATAAACAAAAATCTTAGCTTGTTGGTCAACAAAGAGAGAGAGGAGAAGGAAGGTGAAGAACCTGAAGGTCGTCTTTGGGTATGTCCTACTTCTTTACTTCGTTTTTCTTCTTCTTTCACACTTCGAAGGTCATCTCTCTCTCTCTCTCTCTCTGTATTTTTCGTCTCTGTCGCAGTTCGTCTCTCTCTCTCGCAGATCGTCTTTCTCTCTATCGCAGTTCGTCTCTATCTCTCTCTCTCTCAGATCGTCTCCTTGCTGATCGTCATCGTCTCCTCTGCCTTCGTCTTTGCCTTCTCTCACTCGCGCTCTCTCTCTCTCTCTGGCCTTCTGTCACGATATATATCTAATATAAGTAATATATAAGATAAAACATATATAATCTTTATATAAATATATATATTTAAAAAAAAAAAAACATTAACACATTATTATTTAATATATATCATATATATACATATAAATATATAATAAAAAAACATTAATAAAAAAAATAAAAATATTAATATATATAATCTTTATAATATATTTACATAAAAAAAACATTAACACATACAAATATAATATATATATATATATGAGTATATATTATATATATTAATAAAAAAAACACACATATATGTAAAATAAAATAAAAATAAATTAACAATAACACATTATTTAAAAAATATAATAAATAAATAAAATAATTAATGTGTATTAAAATTTTTTGAATTAATTTTATTTATATATGCATAATATACATATATGTATATATCTATGCGCTTCCCGAGGCACTCCCAACCTAAGAAACTTCTATCGGCTCACGCTCCCCCGCTCCTGCTCCCACTCCCGCCACCGCCCCCGCTTCGTGCAACTAAGACCAAGACATAATCAAACTAGGAAACATATTCCCAGCTAGATTATGCAAACAGTTGAGATTAGTAACTTATTTTATCCTCCAAGTAGTAATCTCCAACATAAGCTCTTAGAGAGGTAGGATTTAGCTTCCTAATCCAATTGGATTATGAGAGGAATCCTAAACTAGTAGGACAACACTATAAATACATATTGACCATGGGACAGTCTGGTACTCAATCATACACATACTTTCTCATTATATTCTCTTAGTTGCTGGCTTAAGTAATGGAGTGCCCTCTGGTACATCATCTCAGTCAACTTAGTGTTCAAAGTGTTTTATCTTGCAAGTGTGAGAGTGTTTGGGAAGCATGATCTCTTATTGGAACAACATCATTTTCCATGTGCAGAATTTTTCCTATACAATCTCCAAGGCAAATACTTTTTTAAAAAAAATTGCATCCATCAGATTCACTAGCTTAATTCTAACTAATCACCAAGAAATTATACAAGATCTTCACTAACGAGACCCAAAGAAAACATATCCACCAAAATAAAAAGGGCTGAAAAAACCAATAAACTTGTTTCTCATCAAAGCTCACAACTTTGGGTGAGAAATGAAATAAGCTTAGAAAGAGAATTCTCTTTCTCACCATTTCTCACTAAACTTATAAACTAAACATAAGAAAAGAGTTCACTTTCTCATCATTTCTCACCAAATCACCTCAGTAAGAACTAACTTATCTTAAACAACAACAAAATGAACACAAAAAAGAAAAAATAATCAGTATTTGAACTTTTCATTTGAATAAATGAATAGAACCCAATAATCAAACCCAATTGAAGGTACTTAATGTAAACAATCATATACATATAGAGAGAGTAACAAATTAGGAGAGTAGTCAATGCCCTCATATGACCAGCAACTCCATTGTTATCCCTGGATAGATCTACTAATCCTGAAAATGAAAATAAAAAACAAAATAGGGTTGCAAAAATGGGGAAGAAGAACAAGAGGCACATTTGAATCATTTAAACCTTACCTCGTCCTCAGGAAACCTCGCAAACTTCTTCACCTTCACCCAGAGTGGATCTGGCTTGGCTGACTTGATGAACCTCTCCACTTCAGCCATAGCTGCCACAATGTGGGTGGACGTCACCAGATCTTCAGCTACCATATTCTTCAGCTCAGCTTCCATTTTCATTGTCGTTGTTATAATGACGACACGCTGCGAGCAATGCGCAAAGTTGTTACTCACCCAACCTATACATAATTCAATTAGGGTTGGTGAGAAGAGACTTAAACATCTCAATCTCGTTGCTTGAAAAAAATGGCAAAGTTGTTTACCGTGATTCATTGATACTTCCCTTCCAACGAGACCTTGTCTCGACATGCCTCAGTACTCACCCTTGGTTACATGACTGTGAGCTGGGAGCAAAGATGTACAACTAGACACATCCCAAGGAACGCATTGCTCGCAGTGTTGAAATTATAACAACGGCAATGAAAATGGAAGGTAAGCTAAAGAATATAGGAGCTGAAGATCTGGATGTGTCTAGTTGTACATCTTTGCTCCCAAGCTCACAGTCATGTAACCCAGGGTAAGTACCGAGGCATGTCGAAGGTCTCATTGGAAGGGAAGTATTCTTGAATCATGGTAAACAACTTTGCCATTTTCTTCAAGCAATGAGATGATGTTTAAGTCTCCTCTCACCAACCCTAACTAAATTATATATAGGTTGGGCGAGTAACAACTTTGCCATTATAACAATAGCAAGGAAAATGGAAGTGGAGCTGAAGAATATGGGAGCTGAAGATCCGGCAGCATCCACCCTTATTGTGGCAGCTATGGCCGAAGACAAGCAAGATTCACTCTGGGTGAAGGTGAAGAAGTTTGTGAAGTTTCTTGAGGACGAGGTAAGGTTTAAACGATTTCAATGTGCCTCTAGTTCTTCTTCCCCATTTTTGGGACCCTAATTAGTTTTTTTTTTTTTTTCGTTTTCAGGATTAGTAGATCTATCAAGAGATAGCAATTCAGTTGCTATGAGTAAATATACAGAGAGAGAGAGAGAGAGAGTAACAAATTAGTGATATTAGATGAAAATCCTAACCTCCACTCGCCTTCTTCGTAAGGAGAGTAGTCAATGTCCTCCCTTCTAACACAATTGAACATCAAAGCCGCCAAAGACGCAAATATACCTACAAAAATAAAAATCAAACGAACCACCAAGGTTTCAATTGAAACCCTAACACCCAACACAAAACACATATGTATCTATCTACATATATATATATATATATAAAACATCAGGAGAGAGAGAGAGAGAGAGAGAGAGAGAGAAGACCAGGGAGGTAGTGGAGGAAAGAGACGGCGACGGAGCTGCAAACTACGGCGTCGACCCAAAACCACCAGCCGGCGCCGAAGACCGCACCAGCAACGGCTGGTCCGAAGATCGCCCACAGCTCTATCAAATCCATAGTTCAGTAACTCGAATTATACACTAATTTTTTTATATATATTTATTTATTTTTGTTAATTTTTACAGAGGATGATCAGATTGTAGAGAGAGAGAGAGTCGATGGAGAGTATTAGGTAGAAAGAAAGGTCCTTCGAGAATCGAGGTGTATGGCGTTAGATGGATTATTGTTTTATTTATTGTTTTTTATTTTATTTTATACCGATAATTAACCATACTATATACAATATACAATTCAGAATCCAATAATAAATAAATGGGTGAATTACATTGACATTCATAAGATTTTTTTGTTTACTACATATTTCTTTCTCACATTTAAAAAATTATATTTTATCTTGTCAGATTAAAATGATATATTTATCTCTTAATTTTTATACTATATATAAAATAATAAAATAATATAGATATTTTATTTATGTCATTTCAAAAAAAATAACAATTATCTTCTTTGGTTTAACTCACACAAAAAATTGAGTTTTTTATTTTTCGTATTTTTTTATTTTTATTGAATTATTCTAATATTTTAAGAAAAAAATTTATTTTTTAAATATACATAATCTAGATATACTTAAGGGTCATGTTTAATTGACAAGACTAATAGTGAAGGTATTAATAATCTCATTAAATTAATATGGTATTCATTATCTAATTGGATTAATAAGATAAATTATCCTCTTGTCCATTGTTTGATTTGCATTAGATAAGAAAATATATGAATGTAGGATTATAACTATATTTATCTTCTTTTCTAATATTATCCTACATCAATTTTTCTTCGCAATCTTTACTTTATCAAGATTTATTCATAAATGTGGTTTTGAAAAAAATTATAAATAAATAAATAAAAGTAAAATAAAAATACAAAGGCCATGTTTGATTTTTATTTTTTTTTTAAATATAAACTAATTTGATAAAATAAATATCAAAAAATATTTTTAAATTTTCAAAAATTATTTTTAACCTTCTAAAATATAAATCTAAAATATAAAATTATATAAAAATAATAAGTGTTTTAATTTTTAGTCAAGTGTAAAAGGATCTTTTTATTTTATTTTCCAACTCATGATATATAATCTCACTTGTACCCCATTACTAATAATTTTACAAATTTGTTGGATTAATTATCCATTAGATTAATAATCTTAAAATAAAATTTCAAAACAAAAATATAATTATTAAGCCATAAATTAATAATCTCAATTACATACTCTAATACTGTCAATCAAACATACTCAAAAAGTATAATGTTTTCTTCCCCTTCTTTTTATCGCATCCATTTTCATGGCTCACACACCACTACTCTCACCACTCTACAAACCGAAGCATATATATATATATATGAAGAAGGATAAGAGAATGAGAACATTAACAAGAAAAAAAAATAAAGAGAAAGAAGTAGAAAATAAAGGTGGTAGTAGAGCTAGAGTTTCCGGGTGACAGTAAAATTTGAATTGGAGGGCTACAATGACGGACGAAGTGGGGGGAGCAAGGCAGTGGGAAGCCATGAGAGTTAAAGGGTAACTTAGTAAAGGGGCTATAGATGAATAAGAGTGTGCTAGGTGGTCAAGAGAAGGTAATAACGGAAGGTCAATGCTAGGGAGGATATGCCAATCAGGTAGAGGTTTCAAAGAGAGCTAAGAGAAAATAGAGGATGAGAACATAAAAGAGAGAGAGAATATAAAGGAGAAAGAAGATAAATTTGTAATTTTAGTAAAATATTCTTCCCTTATCGCAGTTATCTTTGCAAATTCTTTTTCTAGTCTAATCATTTTAGATTCTCCATTCAAATTGCAAATTTATTTATTTATTTTGCTGTATTTCAATTTTTAAATTTTTATTTATTAAATATATATATATATATTGAGGTCAATGAACTAGCATTATTGATAGTCTTATTTGATTAAATTATATGTTGTTTATACTTTCTTTATTTTGAGAAAACTTGTTATATTCGGAGGAGAAATATGTCAATAAAAATAATTTAAATAAATTTTTTAAAAAATAAATTAATTTTTTCTTAAAGTTTGTAAAAAATACATCAAGCACCACAAGTTTGATATAATTACACTAGATTCTCTTAAAATAATGAGTAATGGGAGCTTTTTTGATAAATCCACTTTCTAAAAATTTTATTCCATCCAACCCATATTCTTTTTTACTATTCTATTATGTCTTATTTGAGATAAGAAGACCAAAATACCCTTTTCATCTACTTATGTTCCATTTAATTCACATTATTTTCTTATATTTCAATAAGTCTTATGAGTGACATAATTACCAAAATACCCCTAATGTAAATGTTCACACCAACAATGTGAATGTTTATATCGTTAATGTGTAGGGGCCCGGCCCATGTCGATCCTCGTGGGTGCCCGGAAAAATTCGAGTCTAGCCGGGGTGGGCCGGGGCCATTGACAATGTGAATATTCATATTGACATGTTAACATTCACATTAATAGGAATGTAAAATTGGCCCGCGTCCCGTGGCGGCGTGAAACCCGTCCGCGACCTGGGACGGGCTCGGTCCGGCCCATTAACAATGTGAATATTCACATTGACATGTTAACATTCACATTGATAAGAGTATAAAATTGGTCTGCGGCCCATGGGCAGCCAAAAGCCCACCCACGGCCCGGCGCGGGCCCGGCCCGGCCCATTGACAATGTGAATATTCATATTGACATGTTAAAATCACATTGATAAGAGTGTAAAATTAGCCCGCGCCTCATGGTTGCCCGAAACCCGCCCACGGCCCCTAGATGGCCCGGGGCGGACCTGGCCCGGCCTGTTGACAATGTAAATATTCACATTGACATGTTAACATTCACATTGATAAGAGTATAAAATTGGCCAGCGGCCCAGGGCTGGCCCGGCCCGGCCCGTTGACAATGTGAATATTCACATTGACATGTTAACATTTACATTGATAGAAGTGTAAAATTAGCCCGTGCCTTGTGGCCGCCTGAAACCCGCCCATGGCCCGGGGCAGGCCTAGCCATTTTTTTTTAATTCTTTTTAATTTTTTCTACCAAAATTTTATTATTTTTCACAAAAAAAGATACTAGGCCTCAGCGCAGGCCCGGCCTCAGACCGAGCCTTGAATGGGCCTTAACGGGGCCAATAGACCGGACTGGGCTTCAAAGTGATGGCCCAGGCCCTAGCCTAGGGTCTCGGACTAGGCTCGAGCCTGGGCCCAAACGAGCCTTTCCCGGGCCGGCCCACGGGCCAAAAATTAGGCATAAGCCCTAACCCTAGCACAAGGGTATTCGGGCTTTGGACGGGCCGATGGATCGAGCCTCGGGTCAAGCCGGTGGGCCTGGGCCTAGCCTCGAGCCTAGGTCGGGCTTGGGCGGGCCTGGCAATTTTTTTTTAATTCTTTTTAATTTTTTCTATCAAAATTTTATTATTTTTTACAAAAACAATACATTGAACATCGGGCGGATTGGGCTGGGCATCGGACCGAGCCTTGAATGGGCCTTAAGCAGGCGATGGGCCAGGCTGGGCTTCAAAGTGATGACCTAGGCCCTAACCTAAGGTCTCGGACATGCTCGGGTCCAGACCGAAACGAGCCTGCCCCGGCCCGTGGGCGGGCTTCGGGCAACCCACGGGCCGCGGACCAATTCTACATTCCTATCAATGTGCATTTTAACATGTCAATGTGAATATTCACATTGTCAACGGGCCGGGCCTACCCTGGGCCGTAGGCAAGCTTCGGACAGCGGGCAAATTTTACACTCTTATCAATGTTAATGTTAATATGTCAATGTGAATATTCACATTGTCACGGGTCGGGCCAAGCGCGCCTCGGGCTGCGGTCGGGCTTCGTGCCGCCCACGGGTTACGGGCCAATTTTACACTCTTATCAACGTGAACGTTAACATGTCAATGTGAATATTCACATTGTAAACGGCCCGGGTCGGGCCCGCCCTGGGCCACTGGCTAATTTTATACTCTTATCAATGTGAATGTTAACATGTCAATGTGAATATTCACATTATCAATAGGCCGGGTCGGGCCCACCCTGAGCCGTCCATGGGCCGTGGGCAAGTTTCGGGCAGCCACGAGGCGTGGGCTAATTTTACACTCCTTTCAATGTGAATGTTAACATATCAATGTGAATATTCACATTGTCAACGAGCCGGCCCCGCCCCAGGCGGCGGGCGGGCTTTTGGCCGCCCATGGGCGGCGGGCCAATTTTATATTCTTATCAATGTGAATGTTAACATGTCAATGTGAATATTCACATTGTCAACAGGCCAGGCCGGGCCCGCCCCGGGCCGTCCTTGGGCCGTGAACGGGTTTCAGGCAGCCACAAGACGCGGGCTAATTTTACACTCCTATCAATGTGAATGTTAACATGTCGATGTGAATATTCACATTGTCAACGGGTCGGATCAGGCCCACCCTAGGCCGCTAACCAATTTTACACTTTTATCAATGTGAATGTTAACATGTCAATGTGAATATTCACATTGCATTGGTTGGTTTGGGACGCCTCTGCACATCCCTGTAATACTGCTTCCCATCGACTGGAAGGCCCTTCAACCACTTATAACTCAGTCTGCACCTGGGACACATTCGTTGCATCACGACTGCTTCTAGGGAGTCATCATCCAGTGCTTCTTCATCAGAGTCTTCCTTCTGATGTGGGAACTCTCGTCCCATGGCTGGTGGACTTCTAAGGTCCTTTTTAGTTGCTGTCTGGTTGGCCACATGCATCTGTACATTGACTTCCTCCAATTCTTTCAGAGACAAGTTCTGAAAGTCTGACATAATGACATTGGCTGCCACCTCTCCAATTTTGGGGAATGGATTGCTATCGATCCCCATGGCTTTTTCAGCTTTGGCTGGGAACTTCAGACTCCCCTTCTGAATTTGTTCTTGGATCCTGTCTCGAAAAACAACACAGTTTTTAGTCGAGTGAGACCAAGAATTATGCCATTTACAATATATTTTTCCTTTAAGTTCATCAAGAGATGGAATTTTAACACCCTTTGGTAACTTAAGGAAGTTGGCCGCAAGCAAATGATCAAAAATGTCATCTGCCTTAGTTAAATCGAAAGAATATTTCCTGTGGAGATCTTTCTTTTTAAACTGCTGGTCAATTGTTGTATCATTATGAATTAATGCTTCACAAATCACAGGTTCTTTCCCCACA